AAAAAATAGCCTGAACTTGTGCCAAGCTGGCATTAGCATTAGTTATAACATTAGTTGAGAAGTATTTAGCATATAGCATTAGTTGAGAAGTATTTATTTATTTATTTTTTACATTTAGGAAATTTGCCATGTATACTTGATAGGCCCCAGTTAATTGATATTGAATTGAATCAAATCTAAATCGAACCAAATCGAATCCCAAGCTTTTTAATTAAAATCTACTACACCCAGCCTAGGTCTTAATCATGCTCATGAAAGGTTAGGAAGTGAGGGAAGGAAGGGAATTCCAGTCATTTTCAGTTATAGAAATTCTGTAATGATTGAAAAAGCAAAAACAAAAAAGTTGTCTGTCAACATCAAACTGTGCTGTCCATGTGCTGTCTCTAATCTCATCCTTATCCCAATTGTCTGTCTCTGTCACTTAGTAAATATGGATGAAACAATTCAGCATTTGAAACTGATCCACAGAGAGACTGGAGACAGGGACTGTTGGGTCGTAACGGCACTAATTAAATCCAGCTAGTTGTCTGAGATTTTTAAGAGATGAATCCCCTAGTGTTGTCCAATTTTCCAGCGTTTTTGCGCATAACTCAGCACTCATAAATAATTTCGACACTTGAGAGCTCGAGATTCAAAACAAATGACGATACTGGCACTTCTCTTCTGTGTTTTGAGCAATGACATAAATCAGCGGACTGAAAGCAGTGTCTCTGATCAAACATTACATGGCTGTCATACACACAATGCCTGTGCATTCTTATACAATAATCGTTTAGTTGTCTCCCCCCACTCCGATTTACAGGAAAGGATGACTTTGCAAGGGGTTAGGATTAAGAGTGCCTGCTTTGATATATGAAGCTTTCCAGTCGCTGTCATTGGTCATTCAAACTCATGCAGATTGCCAGAAACGGCACGACTCAAGGCAGCGTGGGATATTTTTTAATGCTTTATCTCAGCAGTGTGCCTACACAGTCGATAAAAGGATGCTTGCGGCAGTGCAACAGAGAGAGAGGGGGAGAGAGTGAGAGACCACGAATGAACACACAGTTGTGAAGGCCCTAAGTAATGGGTGAAATAACAGGGAGAGTTTCTTGGGGCGGTTTAAAGTCTCCAGGAATCAAAACCTCTGTCAGAGGATCGTCATCCATGATAAAATTAGAATGTGTTGCCTAAATCCTTTCAGCTACTTTGTAAGTTTGTATTTAAAGGAGTTAGCATACCCACAAAAACATTTATAAGTCTTTATACCCTAATAAAAGTACTGTGTGTGGTGGCACCATAGATCGATAGATGGATGGATGGATGGATAGATGGATGGATGGATGGATGGATGGATGGATGGATGGATGGATGGATGGATGGATGGATGGATGGATGGATGGATGGATGGATGGATGGATGGATGATGGATAGATAGATAGATAGATAGATAGATAGATAGATAGATAGATAGATAGATAGATAGATAGATAGATAGATAGATAGATAGATGTACTCTCTTTTTCCTTCCCTTCAGACAAACCATATGTGACATCTGCAACAGCCATATGTTTCCCCTATCAGTTTCTTCAGGTTTTAAGTCAAACCACTAGCCACAAACAAGCAGCCGTTTTGGCTACAACAGCCCTACGCTCATCACTTTAGGTGGAAAATATAACCAAAAGTATTCAGGGGTCGACCAAAAACATTTTAATAGTCACTTAGCGTCTTGCAAACCCCATTCACACAGATACACAGATGACTTTAACAGCTTGATAATATTTAAAGAAAGTGCCTGTTATGAACGCCTTGAGCGGTTGGAGGTTCCCATTGACAGAGGAAACAGTTGGTCAGGGTTAACAGTGCTTTTATTGCAGTGCAGGGTGACAGTCACTCAGAATTTGTGGGAAAAACAGAAAAACAAAACAAAAACTTAGAGGCAACCAAATATAAGACTGCACAACATAAGGCCAAGCAAAAGAGCATAACCTGACCTGTGCAAAAACACTACATAAGTAGTATTTTCCCAGAGTTACAAACTCACGAGCAGTCCATGGTCTGTCTAGACCTCTCCTTCACCTCCTATCTCTGACTGCCCTAATAACTTTCTGGAGTCATTTTATAGCCCTGACTCCTCCTACTCTGGAACATACCACCTTAAAGGTAACACATTTCATACACTTACAGGAATGCATAATAATAATAATAATAATAATAATGAAGAAAACAAAAGCAATAACAAAAGTAATAAATACAAATAAACATATATGTAATAAATCATATCCACAAGTATATATATATATATATATATATTCAAAGAAAACCCATAACTTAAAAACTATGAGAATAAACTCTCCGGTGACGTCACTCACATGAACGCGCCACTAGCTGGCGCGGACACAAGACCTATAAATAGACCGGATGTTCAACCGAACAGATTTGGCCAACGACTCATCACAACATGGTAAGCATCTTCTATATCTCTTCCACTTTAATCAATAAAATATGTTAATCAAATACACGTGGTGGTGATTCATTCCCGCATGAGAAAAACACTTCTATTAAACACTTCTATTCACTCGTATACGATTACTAGTGGTCATTACTCAGATAAAACTACACACAGACCATCATACAAGTTTACAACACAATGATATCAAATGTCACACAGGTCAATGCATACATAAATATATGTCGGCTAACAGACTGTAATACATGACGCCGGTGTATGCGCGTAACGTGCATGTGTATGTGTGTGTGTCCATGCACAGTCGCAGGCTTACCCTGTGACATTTCCTCCCCCTTCCCCAGACACCACTCGTGGTGTCCTGGAGAGGAAATCTGCGGTGCAGTTTTCCGAGCCAGTCCGATAGACAACCTCAAAGTCGAATGGCTGCAGAGCCAGGAACCACCGTGTTATACGAGCATTCGTGTCTTTCATTCGGCCCAGCCAAACCAGTGCCCGATGATCAGTTTCTAATTTAAACCTCCTACCCATTAGGTAGTACCTGAAAGAGTCCAAGGCCCATTTGACCGCCAGGCATTCCTTCTCTACGGTTGAATACCGTGTCTCTCGTGGAAGGAGTTTCCTGCTGATAAAAGCAATGGGTCTTAAGTGTCCTTGCTCTCCCTGCAAAAGTACAGCCCCAAGGCCAAATTGTGAAGCATCAGTCTGCACTGTAAAAACTTGGTCAAACTCCGGACTCTGCAACACTGACTCTTCACATAAAGCATCTTTCAAGTACATAAAAGCACGCTCACAGTCTGCAGTCCAATTAGGCTTGTTGGGTTTGTTCTTCCTTGTGAGCTCAGTAAGGGCTAAGGCTTTTTCAGAAAAGTTCGGGATAAAGCGTCTATACCACCCCACCAGGCCAAGGAACGACCTTACTTGCTTCTTGGTTACAGGCCGCTCAGCCTGTTTAATGGCCTCCACCTTCCCAACCTGAGGGCGTATGACTCCATGCCCCAGCACATGACCAAGATAACAGGTCTCTGCCTTAGCTATTGTGCACTTGTCTGAGCGAATAGTAAGACCAGCATTTTTTATTCGAGTTAACACCTCCTTGAGATGTATCAGATGACCCTGCCATGTCCTACTGAAGATAATGATGTCATCCAAATATGCCGCTGCGTATTTCTCAGTTCCAGTAAGGATCTGATCGATCATCCTCTGAAAAGTCGCAGGAGCCCCATGTAGTCCGAAAGGAAGCACGCGGAATTGATAGTGCCCAAATGGAGTCTTGAACGCTGTAAACTCTTTACTGTCTGGACTTAAGGGCACTTGCCAATAACCTTTGCACAGATCAAGAGTTGTGAGGTATTGTGCACTGCCAAGCTTTTCAATTAAATCATCGACTCTGGGCATAGGGTAAGGATCAAATTTGCTCACCGAATTGAGTTTTCTAAAGTCCAAACAGAACCTTAGGGACCCATCTTTTTTTGGCACCAGCACAATGGGGTTGTTCCACTCGCTTACTGATGGTTCTATGACCTCTAGTTTCTGCATAACTTCCAACTCTTGCTTCATGATAGGCACCAGCCTTTCTGGAACTCTGTACACTGGTTGTCGAATCGGTTTCACATCCTTCAAATAAATGTGATGTTGTACCAGATCTGTCTTCCCAGGTGTGTCCTGGAACAGCTGCTCAGGTATACAATTTTGCAACTGACTTCTTTGTTCCACTGTCAAATGCTGAAGATTTAAAGGGTACTCACTTCCACCAACAGGCAAGAACTGCTCCTCTACTTCGTCCTCTTCCTGTACTGCCCTTACCAAGAGGTCCTTCACCTCTGCTCTTACTGGTTCTGGCTGTGCAGGCGGACTGTGCCACTTTTTCAACATATTAACGTGAAAAGTCTGCAAAGGTTTATTTCTGGATGGCATTTCTATTTCATACGTTACTGGACCAACTTTCTTCCTCACTTGATATGGGCCTTGCCATTTGGCCAACAGTCGGTTCTCTGACGTTGGAAGTAACAACAACACTTGCTCTCCTGCTTGGAAAGTTCGGGACCTGGCCTTCTGGTCATACCATATCTTCTGTTTCACTTGTGACTCCTGCACACTCTCCCGTGCCTGGGTGGATGCCAGTTGCAACTTCTCTCTCATTTTGAGGATGTACGAAAGAATGTTCTGCTTGGTGGGCTTGTCATTGGCTTCCCAACTGTCTCTCAAAACGTCCAGTGGACCCCGAATCTGGTGAGCAAACAGTAATTCAAAAGGAGAAAACCCGGTGGATGCTTGAGGAACTTCACGGTAAGCAAACAAAAGGTAAGGCAGCCATTTGTCCCAGTCTTTTCCATTCTCAGACACAAACTTCTTCAACATTCCTTTTAAGGTCTGATTAAATCTTTCTACCAGACCATCAGTCTGGGGGTGATATGGAGTAGTCCGAACTCTCTTAATGCCCAGTAACTGATAGACTTGTTTTAGGGTACGACTCATGAAATTGGGGCCTTGGTCAGTCAAAACTACTTTAGGAATGCCTACATGTGAGAAGAAGTTTAACAGTGCAGCTGCAATCTGTTTTGCAGTAACGTCTCTTAAAGGGTAGGCCTCGGGGTATCTGGTTGCATAATCACAAACCACCAAGATAAAACGGTTCCCTTTCTGACTTCTCTCCACCGGTCCAACAATGTCCACCCCTATCCTCTCAAAAGGTGTATCTACTGCAGGTATCGGAACAAGAGGTGCCTTTGCAGGTGCCCTACCAACTGCTAACTGACACTCAGGACAGGTTTTGCAGTATTCTTTCACCTCAGTATACATACCGGGCCAATAAAAACGTTTAGAAACTCTCCTCAATGTCTTCCTGAATCCCATATGACCTGACCAAGGAATTGAATGGCTGAGCTCTAACACCTTTCTGCGCTGAGATTTGGGTACCACTAACTGCAAACCTTCCTTTTCACTCTGTCTGTAAAGAAGACCTTGTTCCACCATAAATGTCTCACCATACAATGAACTCACAGTTGCATCTTTGCTAACTTTCCTAAAACATTCAGACAAAGTAGCATCCTCTTTCTGAAGCTGTCCTAATTCACTGGGTATGACAAACTCTGACTCAGCAATCTCTGGTTCTTCCCACTCAAACTTTGTCTGTTGTGAGCTATCCATCAAATCTGCCACTTTTTTCCTGCGTTTGTCCAATCTATCTTCCTCAGACAACCCTTCTTCAGCTAGACTTTCTTCCAGAAAAAATGGCATATCCTGCAGAGTGCCATCTATCGAATCTTCAGTTTGTGCTATCCGGGTATGCTTTTTCGCCTGCGCTCTAGTAACTATCCCACACCAAGCTGTCTCCTGCACTAAGTCTGCTAATATGGGCATATCAGTTCCTAGCAACACGGGATAGGGCAGGTTTGTGGTAACACCTACATTCATCAAAAATGACTGCTTGTTAACCTCCAAATACACCTCAGCAGTAGGTAATTCTGACTTATCTCCATGTACACAACAAACCGTTACGGTTTCCTCAGTCCATGACTCTCTAGCTATATATTGTGACTGTACTAACGTACGTGTACATCCTGTATCTACCAACGCCGTCAGCAACTTACCATTTAATAACACTGAAATAGTGGGCTCCTTATCTGGCTTCAACACTATCTTAGGGCTAGACTGGGGCACATAACACAAACTGGCAGCTTTGGGTTTTCTCACCGGGCAATGTGGGCTAGTATGTCCTACCTCTCCACAATTATAACATACTATATCGCTTCTAGGCATCTGCTGTGTGACTACCGGCAGTGAAGGCTTTGGATCAGTGACTTTAAAACTTTGGGCTTTAGTTTGAGAGAACGAACTACCCCCTGACCCCACAGACTTACCTCTTGCCTCCGAGAAGACACCAGAGTACCGGAAGGTCCCAGAAGATCCCTTTCGCGCTGCTATATAGGATTCTACCAGGTCAGCTGCTTCTCCTGCGGTACTGGGATTTCTCTCCTTCACCCAGATCCTCACCTCCGGATACAGCACTCTCATATACTGCTCCAATACCAAGGTCTCCATTATCTCGGTTTTACTGCTCATGTCCAACTTGACCCACTTTGAGAACAAGTCTTTTAAGCGAATGTACAATTCTGTTGGGGACTCCTCACTGTCGGTGCTCAATGAACGAAATCTCAGTCTATATGTTTCTGGATTAATCTCATATTTCTTGAGAATCACCTCTTTGACTTTGTCATAGTCAGAGGTAAAGGCAGGTGCCATGGCGACAAAAGCACTTCTCGCTTTTCCAGTGAGCAAGGGAATCAGATGAATCGCCCAGTCTTCTCTTGGCCACCTGTATACTTCTGCCAATCTCTCAAAGGTGGTCAGAAAATGTTCCACATCATCACTGTCTTGTAGTTTTGGCAATGGAGGCACATGATTCTGCACTCGTAAACCTGCCTGGTCTAAATGGGCAACTTCATGCCTGGCATGCTCCACGTCCATCTGCATATGTGTGACCTGATGATTGAGGACCTTGTACTGCTGCTCACGTCGTACCGACTCTTTCTCTTGCCTCTCATCCCGGTCCTTCTGGTACTCCAGAAAGGCTTGAAACATCCCTGCCAGGGCTGTCACAGCCCTATCTCCTGCGGTGGTTGGGACCTCAACAGCTTGGACACCTTCCTCTGGAACGCCACCCACTGCACCTTGATCTCCTTCCACTTCCACATCTGCAGTCACCTGACCCCTGGTTTTCGGTGGCATTTTAAGTTACAGTCACTTTAGCCGCTGTTAAACACCAACTGTTATGAAGCTTCACTTCTGACACCAAATGTTATGAACGCCTTGAGCGGTTGGAGGTTCCCATTGACAGAGGAAACAGTTGGTCAGGGTTAACAGTGCTTTTATTGCAGTGCAGGGTGACAGTCACTCAGAATTTGTGGGAAAAACAGAAAAACAAAACAAAAACTTAGAGGCAACCAAATATAAGACTGCACAACATAAGGCCAAGCAAAAGAGCATAACCTGACCTGTGCAAAAACACTACATAAGTAGTATTTTCCCAGAGTTACAAACTCACGAGCAGTCCATGGTCTGTCTAGACCTCTCCTTCACCTCCTATCTCTGACTGCCCTAATAACTTTCTGGAGTCATTTTATAGCCCTGACTCCTCCTACTCTGGAACATACCACCTTAAAGGTAACACATTTCATACACTTACAGGAATGCATAATAATAATAATAATAATAATGAAGAAAACAAAAACAATAACAAAAGTAATAAATACAAATAAACATATATGTAATAAATCATATCCACAAGTATATATATATATTCAAAGAAAACCCATAACTTAAAAACTATGAGAATAAACTCTCCGGTGACGTCACTCACATGAACGCGCCACTAACTGGCGCGGACACAAGACCTATAAATAGACCGGATGTTCAACCGAACAGATTTGGCCAACGACTCATCACAACATGGTAAGCATCTTCTATATCTCTTCCACTTTAATCAATAAAATATGTTAATCAAATACTCGTGGTGGTGATTCATTCCCGCATGAGAAAAACACTTCTATTAAACACTTCTATTCACTCGTATACGATTACTAGTGGTCATTACTCAGATAAAACTACACACAGACCATCATACAAGTTTACAACACAATGATATCAAATGTCACACAGGTCAATGTATACATAAATATATGTCGGCTAACAGACTGTAATACATGACGCCGGTGTATGCGCGTAACGTGCATGTGTATGTGTGTGTGTCCATGCACAGTCGCAGGCTTACCCTGTGACAGTGCCGTTGTGGGTTCAGCTAGTCTCTTGTTGTACTCCACACTCTCACTTTCCTATTTCTTCCTCTCATTTTTTGTTTTCCTTTATTCTCGCAGGTGGATAAATAGAAAGACACAATGGGGCCACTAAACACAAAGTGTTCAAGCTAGCTAACCTTGCAACGAGCCTTCTGTCAAATCTGACAAACAGAAACTCCCAAGACAAGTCTTTCAGCTTCCCTTCCAGCAGCATGTATCGCTCAGATATGTACTGCCACATTATCAGATAGAGGTTGGTGTGGCAATGTGGACAAGCATTAAGGCTGTAAACCGGAAGGCTAAAAACCAAGGTTTAGAGCCCAAAAAAAAAAATTCATCACCACTGAACTTCTTGGTTTATCCGGTCACAAGTTATAATACCTGTCAACAACAGGTGTTTGAATTTTGTGGATGGAAAGGTTTCAGATTTCGTGACTATGTACCGCTAAATAAAGGTCCTTAACTCAATTATTTACCGATTGCATTCGCTTGCTAACGGGCTTGCTGCTCGGCATTCAAAAACTTGCTATTGTTTGCTGTGAGCAGTCTGCAGCTAACTTTCAGAACTCCTCCCTCCCCAGCTCCACCTGTATAGATATGCTAAGGGGGTTATTTCATGTATGGTGTACAGTATCTGCATAAGCAGCAGTATGTGCAGCTGTGCTTGCTCTGCAACAGTAGTAGCAGTATGTGTATCTGTATCTGTACTTTCTCTGCAACAGCAGCGGCAGTATGTGCATCTGTACTTGCTCTGCAACAGCAGCGGCAGTATATGTATCTGTATCTGTACTTGCTCTGCAACAGTAGCAGCAGATCTGTTTCCGCCAAGATCAAATACATGAACATTGCCATATCTATTACCATGCCAATCTCTCAGAGTTGTCATGACATAAATGTCACTTATTGTTGGTGTCAGGCATATTGAAAATGTTTAGGAAATCTTCTGCATATATATATATGAACTTTTTATTTATTTATTTTTTTAACAAAAATGTATTTATACTGGTATTAAAGAGTCATTTGTTTGTGAATTGGACCAAACTTATACGTTAATAATAATAAATTAATAAATAAAATAATAATAATAATAAAATAATTGGACAAAACTTGTTACTAAACTTGTAATAATTATAAAATAATAAATAAAAATAATTTATAAACAATTAAAATAATTACTTGTTTGTGAATCAAATTTTGCACTGTGTATGTTTGATTGTCTAAAATGAAGTGCCTCTAAAGAGTTGTATTCAGTTGTTTGTTAATCAGTCTACATTGCTGCTATCGTGTGAAGCCTGAAGAATGTATTAAAAAAAAAAAACTTTTTTTTTTTTTTTTGGGATTCCCCATTCAGCAATGGAGAAACATCATGGGATTGTAAGAATCAATATTGAGATAATTCAAATGACCATTATTTAATTAGATCTATAGTTTTACATTATTTAATTAGATCTATAGTTTTACTGGTATTAACACTTTAAATGTTAATACCAGGTGTAAACCGTGCTGTAAGTTGTTTTGCGAAACAGCCTCTACTTACTCTTAATCAGTTTGCTAAATGTTGTACACATAGTATTATTACAACATTAAGAAGTTTCTTTCTAAACATTCAAATTCGGTCAGGAAGATAACCGCATTGTCCCACAACAAGTGTTAATTATGCACAATAAACAGGAAATGGATTGGCAAAATTAGTGTTTTAATGAAGATCTGTTAGAAGTAATAGCTATCTGACGTCACCTGAGGCCGGGTGGGGGGATCGTCATGGCAAACTTACCAAGGCATTTTTGTATTTCATAATTGCAGCATAATTAACATGCAGTTGTTGTTTTTTTGCCTCTGTGGTCTTTGGATAATAGATATTATTTGAGGCATATTGCTGTATCATAGGGTGTAATTTCTTTTTAATTACAAGACAGTGATTACATGTCAGGCAAAATCACATTGTTGATTCATGGCAGGAGTTGATTTACATGAGGAGACCAACACTGACAGCAACCCACTGACACAAACACACACGTTGAGACATGTTCACTTGCTTCCCAAAAGTATGAAACGTATACATACGATTGATTTTGTAAGTACAGGCCGCCAGTAAATTGTTAAATGTTAATCTAGACCTTTTCACGTTTTTCATGTCAACTGGTTTTCACAGAGGGAATTAAACATATTAAACATACTCTCAGATGTTAAAGTCATCATGGCATTATATGATTGTAAACTCGAGTAATCCCCCATCATGCACCTCTCTCCTGCACCTTTTCATTTCCTGGGAAAACTATACCATCTGCCTCTCAAAACCACAAGGCAAAGGATCATGGGAAACTACAGGACCATTGAAAACAAACTGGGCGAATGGATTCAGCTTAAATTACTTGATTTTATGTTTTTCCATGTGAATGCCAAAATCATGTGTTCTGTAAATGTGTAGGTATTACTGTTGACAGCCTGTTCCCTGCCAGATTTTTAAACTATCATTTATAAGGTCATGGCTTTTCATGGTGATATGAGAAACTGCTTGCTTTCGTTTTTTTTTTTTTTTTATTTATTTATTTTTTTTATATGTACTCACCAATTCTGCCAGCTTTCTTCCAACAGTGCACACAGTTCTTTCTGATTGTCCTTCATTGTGTCCCTCACATAAATAGCATCTTTTTTTTTTCTTTTTTTTTTTTTTTTTCTGGATCTCCCACCAGGCTGCAGACTGCATGTTTTCAAGATTAATTCATTCAATGCATTTGATTTGTTTTCTAAATTTAGGATACATTTAACTGTGCACCACTTGTACACAGAATAATGGTTTTTCATAATTCCAAAATGTTATTAATTTTTATTTATATCAGAAAATGTAGATGTAAATAAATAAAAGCATAAATCATATTGAATGCATTGATGTGTATGTATTCGAGTGTATTTGATTACATATTTTGATTTTTGCATCATTATTATTTACCCACAATAAATAAAATTAAAATATTTCAGAGTAACATAGATTTTTGTATGGATATGTGATAAGTGATAGTTCAATATGCCCCAAAACCTTTTTAAATTTACATGAGAACACTTGGATGAAATTAGAATTAAATGAGGGTTTTTAATCTCTACTGACATTGCACAGTGCAAGTCTTGTAATCAGAATTTAAAGCAATAATATGTTTCCAGGATTGTGTTTTAAGTTTGTCATCTATCTGCTGCTGCTTTCTTTCAGTGACTCTTTTGTCGACTAACCGGGCCTACACATGCCGCCCAAATCCGGCCTGAATTCCCATGTCCTGCTGCGATGTAAATCAGGTCTTTTTTGCCTGTCATGGATACGGGATAAGCTCAGCCCGCAGCTGCAGAAGTTTTACACACTGCCCCGGTATGTTCTTTATCTGTTCTCCCAGAGGTTACATACTCCCTCTTTTTCTTGTTCAGCTCACATCAGCTCACTCTAGCTAGCATGCACTCTCTCGCCATGTGATTCATGCTAGCTGCTATCTGGATAATCTCTCCCTCTCCTGCTCCCCTTCCCTTCCTCCACTCCTCTTTTCCTCCCTGCTCTGCTGAGTATCTCTTTGACAGAACTTGATATAAACACCCTTTGATTAAGCTCTGTGCGACCTAAAACAGTAAGTAGACATGGTCTAGGGATGGAAAGAGCCAAATGTTTGACATTACAGTCACAACACGCTATGTGGGGTTGATTGTGCGACTTTTGCTGAATGTGTAATTTAATTTGTGCTAAATTTTATAATGTAAACTAAGAGTGAAGTAGAAGGTCTGAACTGCAAGCTTGCTCTATGTTTTGGATGGCTAAGTTGGATCTAGTAGGGGATTCGCACTGTTTTTTTGTTTCAAGGTAGCTTGACGCTGTGCAACAACTGTCACCTGTCAACAACATCTGCGGTGAACAGCTTGCCTTCACTGGATGATTGAGTTTGGCCATACCCGATGCCTCTGTCTCAAACTGCCGCATCTCAAATCTGTTCACTCTTCATCAGTTTTAAGATTTTTTTTTGTGAACCTTTTTAGGGTCTCTGTGTTGTTGAGCACAACCTGAGGGATTTGGTTGTGGACCAGCATTGGGGGTGTTGATATGCAGATTACTTTTAGAAGACATGGCTGAAGTGAAGTTACAAATTTACACATTTAAGGTTCACTTTGTCAACACTTTGTTTCAAAACAATACAAACTATTTTTACAAAATATAATTTATAAATAAACAATTTTCTATTGTTAATTCAAGTTATTTCATAATAAATAAATTAAAAAATAATTTATACAACCGAAAATATATTAAAATATGTAGAAATTGTCATTAACATGATATTGTCATCATGAGTCGTTATCAGATGTTATGAGATTTGAAACACTGAGTGAGAGGTTTGTTTGACAGGGACAACAGTGTAATTTACAGTTTAGTGGTCATACAAAAATAGGAATGCTGCGATTGACCAATCAGAGTCAAGTATTCCAGAGAGCTGTCATGTCTGGCCCAAGTCAGATCATACTGACAAAATTCAATCTAGTTTTTTTTTTTGTCAACCATTTCTTGGAAAGATGTAAGTATTGTTTTAAAAGCAATTATCTAGGTTTTTAGTATGTGTTTTTCACGCAACAAAGCAGTCTTGTGGACGTGGTGCAAGCTTAATAGGCTCAGCCTCATATAACACATTTTACGTTGTTCAAATCTGTTCCACAGAATCCCCAAAATTCGGCATAGAAATAAAAAATAATAATATATAATAATAATAATTAAATAAAATTCTATCTGGGCCTGCCAATCAGCATTGAAACATATTTCCATGAAAGAAAACTCTGTTTGGTGCACAAATTGAAAATGGAAGATGAATACTAAAAGGGCTGCTGAGCCCAGCGATCAGGGATCAGTGCTAGTCTTTAACTTGTCTGACACTGTCTGTGGCTGGGTAATCCACCAGAGTAATGAGGAGTTTGTGTGTGTGTTGTAGCATTCACCTCCAGTGCTCAGCAGGGCTATTAAACCATCACATCCATCTCTGTAATGAGTGTGTTTGGGTTAATACCCATTAAACGGATTATGTGCGTATGTGTGTACGTGTGTATGAAGAACATTACAAAAGATCATGGGCAAGGTGTAAGAAGTTTGTATTGGAGTGACAACATATGGATATGGTAGAGCGAGCAGAGAGGAAGCAGTGAAGCGGCAATGTGAGCACCAAATGTCCCCCCGCATATAGTAATACCAGACTTTTTTTTATTTTTTTGTCCCTATGAGGAAAAAAAAAAGCATATAAATCATACAGAGTGATCATTGAGGAAAAAAAATGCAGACATTTCGTCCCCTTTGGAATTATAAGGTTATATCTGCGTTCTGAGCAGTTTTGAGATATTGAGCTTCAAAGTTTTTGCATTCCATATAGGAAAATGTGTATGGGGAAAATGTTTCTTTCAAACATAAAAATAACAGGGACACTAAATGTACAAAACACATCACATAATGTAAATAAATTATCACAGAATAAGAAAATGTGAATAACTCAATTTTGACAAAAATGTCAGATAGAACCTTATAATTCCAAGGGGACGATTTTTCTGTGATAGGTAGGTTTAGGGGTCGGGTTAGTGTAGGGGGTATCCAGTTTGTACAGTTTAAAAAGCATTACACTTATGGAAGTTCGCCATACAACAGAGAAACCCAACATGTATTTATGTGTCTGTTAGGCATGTGCACCATTTTCAAATTTAATTGAGAATTGCTTTGTTTCAGTTCAGTTCCTAAGTATGCAAATTGACACATTCACAGAATTTGAATTTTATTCCATTTAAATGTGCCTCCTTTGAAATTCATATGGCTTTTAAATATAGCTACAATATTACACACACACACACACACACACACACACATATACAAAACACAGCTGTCCAAAAGCTCACACTTACTAACCCATTTTCTCTTGTCAGATCCAGCCATGAAGTGACTGACAGTTGGCCTTTGCCCCATTGTGTTTATGCACGACTTTTCTGATTAGCCTTGGCTCTCTAACTCTACCATCCATTCTGACAGTGTGTATCTGTCTGACTCTTTTGTCAGAATTGCCCTTTTCAGCGTCTACACTTGATTCAAGTGACTCAAAGGCTCGCTTCAGTGCTTCAGATTCACTCTTTAGTGCTCTTGAATGGGACTTTCAATTCACAACTTTGACTACTTGAGTTTTGACACCTTGGGGCTTCACCAGCTTACAGCATGAAATCTCATAACCCATGTTTAATGCAAACAAGACGTTCATGTAACTCTGGAATGTCATTTTTTGAATGAAAGTAGTATTATCCACACTAAAAACACATCTGGAATCATTCCTCACCCTTTTGGTTGTTAAAAATATTGTACAGCATCAAGTCATGGGCCGTGACATAGCCACAACTGTGACTCCTTTATTCCACACACTCTTAGATTTTTCCCTGCACATGCATAACAACGTATCATGTTATCACATTACCTCGGAAACCCGCCGGCGGTGGGAACACAGTGAGGCTCGTAAGCAAAACTAGTTTTATGAGCTGACAAAAGGCTGAACGGATAGTTCGTCCCTGCAGCGCGGCGCGCACACAACAGCAGCAGCTCAGAGGAACTGACGTGAGGGAATATTTATGTATGTACTGCAAGGTGGTAGTGGATTACAGTGAGAGGGGAAGTAAGGGTCTGTCAATGTCAGAATTTTTGTTCTGCGCTCTCTTCCCCCACTCTGTAATTCCATCTCACTAAAACAAAATCGACATGATGGCATGGTTTAGAAAGCTCTCATTCAGTCACGCATACACATATGGTTCACTATCTTTGTCTCCATATACGTAATGGTTTTTATACAGAACAAAGTGTATATTCTATCCACTTACACTTACCCCTAAACTTACCCATCACAGAAAATTTTCTGCATTTTTACATTTTCAAAAAAAAAAAAAATCACGAGTTCCAGGAAATATTGCCTGGTCTGATGAGTCTCGATTTCTGTTGAGACATTCAGATGGTAGAGTCAAAATTTGGCGTAAACCGAATGAGAACATGGATCATGGATTGGTGTGGGGGATGTTTCCTTGACACACTTTAGCCCCCTCATTACCAATTGAGCATGACCATGTCCATCCCTTTATGGCCACCATTGAACCCATCCTTTGATGGCTACTTCCAGCAGAATAATGCACCATGTCGCAAAGCTTGAATAATGTCAAATTGGTTTCTTGAATATGACAATGAGTTCACTGTACTAAAATGGCCTCCACAGTCACCAGATCTCAACCCAATAGAGCATATTTAGGATGTGGTGGAATGGGAGCTTCGTGCCCTGGATGTGCATCCCACAAATCTCCATCAACTGCAAGATGCTATCCTATCAATATGCAACGCATTCTCACCCCAAGGCGTCACCTTTGACCATGCTTCAATATTTGACGTTTTAGGCGCCCTTTAGCGTCACTTACATGACGCGATCCTACGGCGTCATCTAACTGACGCTAAAGGAAAGCGTCAGTTAGAGGACGCGGTTAGGTTTAGGTGTGGGGTGGGGGTAGGGTACACGCGATCCTAGGGCGTCATCTAACTGACGCTAAAGGGCGCCTAAAGCGTCAGATATTGAAGCATGTCCAAATGCTTCCCAAGGCGTCAGTTAAGTGACGCCTTGGGGGTGAGAATGGGCTCCAATATGGGCCAACATTTCTAAAGAATGCTTTCAGCACCTTGTTGAATCAATGCCATGTAGAATTAAGGCAGTTCTAAAGGCGAAAGGGAGTCAAACACAGTATTAGTATGGTGTTCCTAATAATCCTTTAGGTGAGTGTATATTTATGTGCACCATCCCATAGAGACAAAAAGAGGAGGAGGAGAAATCTAATTAAATTATTTGTTATTAAAATGTCTATGTTCACAAACCACTATTAATTATACTGATTGGGGGATTTGGCATGGCAAAAAGCGTGTTAAGATATCTCTTTATAATCACTAACAAGTCACACAACTTAGTTCATTGCAATCTCATTTTTTTTTAAAAAATGGAGCTCATTGCGGAGTAAATTTCTTATTTACATAATGTCTACATTTTGTTTGTTATAATGAGTTGATTTGCAACTCAGCCTGCAGAATTCAGAATTCACTCACCACTCAAAATGCTGGAGTTTTTGTTTAGTGCTAACTTAATGCCTCTGATTGGCTATTCTGTTCAAGAAATCAACAGATATGTTTGTGATTGGCTCAATTGCTCAACGCTGCAAAAACGCATTGGAAATAGAAACTTTTGACATTATCCAGAGCTCAAACACAAATATACATTGGTTCCTTTGCCAAATCTGTTTCGCCAATATGCTATAATTACGGGGGGGGGGAAAGTTGTCCTAGACCAGCAGTAA